CAACAGGAAACATGTCTGTTTCCTTCCTAACTGCCTTTCCAGGATGGCGAGGAGTTTCGGGAAAAGAGGCGGGGCCCGGAAAGTGTTTGTTGAATGAATCCGTCAACAAAGAAAGAGGCAGGGGTGGGTCTACTCACCTGGTGTTAGTCGCTGCCTGCACCAGTGCTTTATGGCCAAGGCTTATTTATTTACTTGTGTGCTTTTGTGTGGTGGGGGCGGGGTGGCTCTCTGCAAAGCTTCTAACAGCTGGTGCCCGGGCTTGTCACGCCGGCGAGGTTCCTAGCTGTTGCCAGGTGCCTCCAGTCCTGCGTCTACCATGCACAAGCACGCATCTCCCCTGAACTCTAGTGCCCGCTGGAGGACTGGTCGTGTGGGCCCTTCTCATGCACTGAGAGTCGGGACAAAAACCAGGCGCTTGCAAAGACTAAAGATGATGTGCAGAGACCATTTAGCTCCACGATGGCTTTTAAAAAGTCATCGAGCATCTGTCTGTGCTGGCAGAGAGAGCCCACATGCCAGGTTTAACGGGACGAGACAGGTGGGCTCATGGATGGGAAGAGGTAGGGGGCATTTCAGGGGCTGGTGGTCAGGTGACAACCAGGTTCAGAGTTGTTGAATATTCCAGGAGCCAATGGACGGTTGCACCAGAGCCATGGTGCTGAGTGAGGATCCTCCAACTTTTTTTCTTCTTTCTTTTTTTTCCTCTTTTGCTGTATCTCTTTGCTCAAGATTGAGCTCCAGAGAGACAGAGCTCTCCGTTGCACTGGCATAGGTCAGGTGTCCACCGCCTTCCCAAGGGGGTCGGATGAGCCCCTGACTTAAAAGTCCATCGAAGTGGTACAGAGTGGCAGGAGGGTGGGTCACACGAGCAAAATCGGGGTGCTGTCACCCCGGATAGGATAACAGGAGTCAAAACAGCAGTTGTGCACCCCAGTTCTGAGCCCGCATTACTATTGATGGCTGTTTCAATTATATATTACTGGGTACTGTGCTTGGAAGATTGTGTTTGTGTATGTTATATATATATAATGTATATAATATGTGTATTGTATATCATATATGCATGTGTATATAATTATAGATGTGCAATATATGTTTTAGTATACACATACACTGCATGTATGGCTTTGTTATGTTTTAACAATTCAGCGTACCCTTAGCCTAAGAAGGTTCTGTTTGTGCTAACCCGTGGTGCGTGTGCACACGCCATGGGGAAAATTATGCCTTTTCCCCTATCGCCGCAGTGGATATATTATTAAGTATAAATCTGCAGCACACTGTCTTCAGAAACCGAGTGCTGTGTTTATCTCTGCGTAATGAGACTGTCAGGGTAACCTGTGTTTATTGAGCCACAAGTAGGTTGTAAAACTTCCATTAATGAACGTAAGTAACTCCGTTGTCATAAACAAAGGAAGGAATTAGCGTCTGGCTGGGGCCCGGTGGAGCGGAGCTGCCCGTGTTCCCAGGACTGCCTTAATGGCTTCAAAACGCTGCCGCTTACGGCTCCAAGACGGGTGTCTCAAAATTATTAGCCCGGCACAAACTGCGTTCAGTACGCACCACGTGTACGCCTCTAAGGAACAACCACCCAGTTTCTTGCACACATTGACGCTCGATATTCACACACCAGGCACAGATGCCCCAGAGCAGGTGTGGCCACCCCACTTCAGAACGCCTGAGGCCAGCGTCTCCTCTTGTGAAAATGTCCTGTGTCTAGGAAAGACAATTCCCGGGGTCCTCTCCTAAATTCCAGAAATCGTTTTTTTTTCCCCTCAGAAATGATGCTATAAATTACAGCTTCCTGTAGCTACAGTAGAATTATTAGCACCGAATGCTGGATACTTTATGGATTAAATAAGCAACGGTGTGTCCTTTCTTAAGAACTTGAAAGCAAGCCATTGGAGAAACATCATACGAATTCCAAATCAGCTACTTATAAATCACATCTCAGAAAAACATAAGCCCACCACTGCGCACTGATACCTTCTGCATAACCAAAAGGTTGTCAGAGCCAGGTTGATGACCTATTTATTTAAAGCAAAGTTGATTCGATAAAACTCCAGTGCGCAGTAATTGGGACAGCTGTTAGAATTCATCTTAATAGAATAGTATCTGTCCACAGAGGATTGCACCGTCTTTCAGCACCGCATCGGCTCGCCTGCGATTTAATTGAGCTTCTGCAAGGCGGGAATCCTAACCGTGGGCCTGAGCGTGTCACCTGCGTGTCCAGAAGGCCAGGTGGCTTTTTGGCCTATGCGTGCCGTTCCCAATGCATAAATCACCATGTTCAGGATGTTTGCTTGCACGATGATTGCTTAAGATGCAGAACACGTCACCTTTTTCCCCCATAGGAATAACGTCACGCATGACCATCACTTTCTAAAAGTGCTAAGTTTTGCACCTGGGGCCACGCCTCAAAAGCAGCCCCTTTTCTCTTTGCAAACTAGGCAGGTCGGTATGCGTGCTGGGCGTTCGAGAGTCCATCCCCAGATTTGGCGAGTTGCTGGGCAAACTCGGGGTCATGATCACTGCTGAGATTAAAGCACAACCGGCAAAGGAAAAGGGTGCGTGGAGAGGGGGCAGTGGGGAGACCAGGCACAAGATCCCAGGAGTCTCCCAGTGGAGCTGCACACACTGAATTCCTCCAGCAAATAGTTGTGACGACACTCGTGCTTTCTACTAAGGACCCTCACCTAAGCCTGGGAGTTCAGGGTTTTTACTGGGGACTGGTCAGGTGGGGCACCCTCTGCCTGGATGTACCCAAACTCCAGACTCCCAGAAGGAAAGCAAGTGTTGAGCGTGTAAACCACAGGGTTTGCTCATTTCAGGTACCTCGACCCCCTTTTAGCTTGGGACAGGGAGAACCCTCCCCAGACCCAAGTAGGGACAGGTGTCTCCTGCTTTTTCTCCAAGCTCTGGCCCTGGGAGTGCCATTGTGCCCTCATTCCTTGTTGCTAACAGCGGCAGGTGATCTCCCTTTCTCCTCTGATTATATTAATAACGGGATTTTAGCAGTGTGGACTCTGGAGCCATTGCTGTGTCTGTATGTTTGTGTGGACACAATGATTGCAAACCCAGGGTGTGCAACCCCAGCTGGACACCCCTCGTGTCATCTTCCTGGCCAACACCATCAAAGCACTCCAAGTGCCCCTTGGTCCTTTGGCTTCAAAACTTTTTCTATTTTCCCCTCCAGGAACTAAGAAGAGAAAATGCAACAGGAAACATGCAATTTTCAGACGTCTAGGCTAGTTTGTGAATGAAACTGTTTGCAATGTAAAATCCTGTCCTCTTACCACGTACTTCCCATTCCGTGTGTGTTCTTGAAGTTTCTTAGAGAAAAGTGAGGACGCACATGGTGGTCACATTCACTGGGTGTCATCAGGCAGGTGGGAAGGGGAGGAGGGGATGGGTATATTCACACCTAACAGATGCGGTGCGCTCCATCTGGGGGTGGACACACTTGTAGCTCTGATTTGGGTGGGGCAAAGACAACTTATGTAACCTAAACAATTGTACCCCCATAATATGCTGAAATTATATATGTGTAGCCAGGCGCGGTGGCTCACACCTGTAATCCTAAGACTCTGGGAGGCCGAGGTGGGAGTATCCTTTGAGCTCAGGAGTTCAACACCAGCCTGAGCAAGAGTTGAAACCCCATCTTTACTAAAAATAGAAATTAGCCGGGCATGGTGGCGCATGCCTGTAGTCCCAGCTACTCAGGAGACTGAGGCAGGAGGATCACTGGAGCCCAGGAGTGTGAGGTTGCTGTGAGCTAGGCTGACGCCATGGCACTCTAGCCTGGGCAACAGAGTGAGACTCTGTCTCAAAAACAAACAAAAAAAACACACAAAAAAACGTGTGTGTGTGTGTGTGTGTGTGTTTGTGTGTATAGATAATAAGGACACACGAGAAAACCAGTCCTGCCAGGCTTCCTCCTTCCTCATGTGTCCAACTTTTCTTAAGAAACAGAGTCACCGATGTCTAGGAGAAAAGCCTTTTTTGGGCATATCATTTATCCCTTCCATGAATGAAAGAAGGAAGAGAGAAATGAAGGAGGTGGAGCAGGAATAGGAAACGAAGTCGGTCATGGAAAGCACGCTTGCTTTGGTAAATGAGTTTTTGCGACAGTCCGAGTAGATCCCAGATAACGCGGCCGGCACCGGCCGGTGCTGAGTGACAAGGATGTGGACGGGGTCAGGTCGACCAGCCTCAGCCCTGCAGAGTTTGATACGGTGCAAGGAGGCACCGGGCGCATCGTGGCCGGGAGCCAGTTCAAATCTGCTCGGTGAAAATTTAAGTGGTGCTGACCTCATAGGGCATTTGTCAGAGTTAAAGGAGATATAAAGTCATAATGAATCTGGAAGAGTGTCTGATTCAAGGTACGTGATCAAAGCGTATTAGTAGTGGTGATGATGATGATGATGAAGTAGGAAGAGTGCAAACGTGCAAGTCAGGCCTGTTAAGATCTCAGCACCTGCCTTCCCCTGGGGGCATCGTCATTCTCTCACCTGTCTGGGACGCGCCTCCCTCACCTGGAAACTTGGGACGTTGGTGGAAAGTTAGACGGTAGAGGCCAGCTGCCCAGCGCTGCCTGGCACATGGGAGATGTGGTCCGTGAATGTGTCCTCTTCCTGTACATCTTACCTTTGCACTTTTAATTCATGTCCTTTTTCTACTTAGTTTTTACCATACTAAGGGTTTTCGGGGACTCCTTTGTTTTGTTTTGGTTCCACCTGAAGGTATTACATAAGCCAGCACTCTGGCACTAACGTTCGCTTGCTGTCAGCCTGCTGTCACTACTGCTTTATTTAAAGGCACGGATGACTGTGGAAGGAAATCGGGGCAGATGGGTTGGAAGGTGATTACAGATTTGTGTCTACCTCCTGCCGTCCATGATCTCACACCCGCAAGGCCGTGGCGTGCGGTCAGGGTCCCCCCGTTCCCAGAACCCGCGGGGACTCTCCCAGAGCTGACTCAGACCACACTTGTGTCTCCACCAGGGCCAAGGTGAAGAAAGGCGTGAGCATCGTGGGCGTGCGAGCCAGCAGCCCCTCCATCTGGGACGTCAGGGAGAGCAGGGACTACACCGGCAAGTATGCACCAGCTGTCATCGTGTGCCAGAGGAAATCGGCTGGCTCGGAGAACAGGTGAGTCCCGACCGGCCTCGATGTATTCAGATGAGCTGCTGCGTGTGGCCGCCTCCTTCCTCAATTTGCTCACAGCCGTTTCCCACTGAGGTTTGCACTTGCTGCCTGTGTTAGCAGAGCCTCCAGGTTAAAGAGGGATGGAATCCTTCGTCTGGGAAAGGTGTGTAGTTATTCACAGTGGGCCCACTTGAAACCACAGCACAGCTCTGTACCTGTCACCTGCAAGGCCTACTCCAGGTGGGACAAATCCCACAGGTGGCATTAATCCACAGAGGAGGTTTGCTTCACCACCACCTCTTCCTAATCTATGATGTTAGGAGAACTAAGGGTCTGGCGCTCTCCTATGAAATGTCCCGTTTTGCAAGCGTTGAAAGCAAGAGCACGCAGCTCTCTTTGCGCACAGGCGTGCATTCTGCGTGTGCCGTGTAGATTTAAATACAATGCACGCCATGGAATCGGTGTGCAGGCATTTTCTAAGACAGTACAGCAAACTATCTACTGTGGAAGTGGGAGGAATTGTGAATCACTCTAGGGAGAAATTAAAACCCGGATCTGTCTCTGATCTCCACCAAATTAGAAACAATCAGTTCACAGCTGGGCAGAGAGAGACTTGGAAACTCGGTGGTTCTTGTTTTATTACGCGTTCCCAAAATCTCATTTGCGGCTCTGGAGAATTCCTAGTCTGGTCACGTATTTTTTTTTGTCACTGTTAGGGTTGCTTTTTTGCTCTTTATGTGACTGAACATTTGAACAATAATTGAAGGACAAACTCAGGTATGTAACACGTTATTTCTGGAGTGCATTTTCCAACTCCGTAGCTCAGTGTTTGGAAAATCCTACTCATTTCCCGTTAGTTACTCTAATAGAGAGGTCGTGAATCTCAGCTGATAACTACTTACAGTTTTGCGTTTGGTTTCTTACCAAGGAGCATTTGAAGTTGATTTGGAGATGATTTGATTTGGGCTCTTGCCCCTGTGCTCAGCGCCGGTGTTTGAGAATTTTGGTTATTAGCAGCTCCGGTCTGCATTCTCCCTGCTCTTCCTTTTGTGACCATGTGACCAGGGTTTGCAGATTTCTTTCTTGAAGAATTTGCTTGTAGAGAAAATGAAACAAAAAGAGAGAGAGAACATCGGCATTTGAGTCCTGCCCTCAATGGTTAGGTGGTGACAGTGTGTCATGCTGATTAACTCGATGAACTTGCAGCTGTGCACATGTTCACGTATGTCTGTGCCCGTAATGTAATTTGGGAAATAAGGTGCTACCTCGATAGAAGGTTTCCTTTGTGTGTTATAGCTGGCAGAAATGAGGACAAGTGGACGTGTGGATGGGCAGGTGCACGAATGAATGGGTGTATTGATGGAGAGAAAGATGGACCCATAGATATGTTCATCCTTTAGCAGAAGAGGATCAGTTTTGGGGGGCAGAATCTCAACCAGTGCATTTTCATTTTCTCATGTGCTTTTTCTACTTCCATGGATTAGTGGTTGTATTGTTGCCTGTGAAATGTGGAGGGATATGAACCATTATAAAGCATTTGTTTTTTAATTTTGAACTTATGACTAAGAATTAGTTCAGTCCATCTCCTGCCTGGAGAGGACTATGGGGCTGGCCAAGGGTGGCCCCTTCCTTCCTACCAAAGTATAAACTGCCTTTTTGTGGCTCTGGGGGCTTCCAGAAACTCAGCACATTCAGAGAATATACAGAAATGCAAACGTGCATGGTGTCTGGAATTTATTTTTCTTTCATTTGTGTCGGTATCTTTAAGAAACAAGCACCCTGAATAGAACATCAAGTTATTCCTTTAAAAGTCCTGACGTCATATGGCCATTTTCTATGGAGAATATTCCTCATTTCTTTGCACATTCTGACGCCAGCTTTCTGCTTGCTACCATGGGCCCAGGTGATGGAAAAAAGCTTACACACACGTGTGTGTATATGTGACATGTATTTGCGCATGCACATATGGAATGTTATATGTGCATTTAGGACATATATGTGATTAGTATGCAAATGCATGCCTATGCATGTACATCTTAAAAGTGTTCTAGGTATATATATGTATATGTTGAAGTAGAGATTTCGTGCTACACCCAGGGAGGTTTTGCTTAATGAGGAAGCTCTACAGTGGGACCTCTTCCAGTTTGGGAATCGGGTCTTGTCTGCAGCTGTGTTCCCAGCCCTCACGTCAGCATCTGTTACACAGTGGACTCTGTGTAGATATTTGTGTAACAAATTTCTAGCATTAGACCCTATCTTAATCACTATCTATGTTATGATGCTAATCTATATGTGCATATGTTTGAAGGGTTTCCAATATACCTGTTCAAAAAGATACCTGTGCGTAACTGCATGTGCAATGGAACTCCATTTGGGGAAGACAAGAGAAAGGTGCTTTCACGAGCGGATTGTGTCTCAGGAAGGCTACGCAAGAGACCGGCAGCTGCGATTTCCGCTGAGGGAAAGATGGGAAGCTGGGGGAGAAGGCTGAATGCGAATTACTTTTCACAGCGAACCATTTGGACTTTGTTTTTATTTTACCATGTGTATGCATTATCTATTTAATAGAAAGTATATAGTTAAAATAGTTTATGAACATGATAAAATCATCCACTTTTATCCTCACTTTAAAACTTTTCATTTTGCTTTGTCTTTAGGAAATTAAATAAAGGGAAAAGAGCACACGCCATCATTTCCCATAGTGATGGACTGGGATGGGATCTTTTCTCCAGGGTAATTGGAGAACATCATACAGAGTAGATGCTTTAATAATGTCAGTGGGTTTTGCTTCAGAAGCCGTTCTGCTTTATACAGCCCTCACACTCCCAGAATGTTTTCCAGTGATTCTTGAAAGTCAGAATCTGTTGATCATAATGCAAAAGAGGCAGCCTTAATTAGCTTGTGAGTTACAGATTTTGTATTGCTAATAATTTACCATGGATCAGGAAGTTGCGTTAATGAAGTTAAGCCTCTGTGACAGGTGTGAATTTTATGGATGAAGGGAGACACTTCTGTGCTTGTGATAACTCAACAGGAAAGAGTGAAGATCTCTTATCTAAGTTGAAAGGCATCCTTCCTCGCTGAAAGAAGTTTGGTTGCTGAGAATCTAATAACAGTATTAACACATGAATGTCATCACAGCTATCAGATCTGTTTTGACTAAGCGTTGCCAGTGAATATTACCAAACAGAAGCAGAATAACTGAGTATGCTCTGTCCCTCAAGTTCCATTTTGCATTTCAGGGTCTTGTTCCCTGCAGTCCTATGTCAACTTAGATAAATGTGGAACAAAGGCCATGCATTTGTATTTCTTTGTAGCTCTCTGCATAGAGGTTTCCCAGAGCTTACCACAGTTGATATGTAGATGGTTTTAGGTGGTACACAGAGATGAGATTAAATAAACCTAAATGACAGAAGCATACATTTATTTCAGTTCTCCGGTAGGACTTCTCATTGAAGATAGTCCATCTCTTTTAGGGGCTTGTATGCCTTGAAAGCCTCTATACATTGCTCATAGATTGTAGACAGGCAAGAAGACATGGCTAGAATTTAATCTCTTTTTCATAGTTATCATCTGTGCATTCCATGCCATACCAGTTTTACATTTATTTATAGGTAATATGTTTTATCTTAAAACAAGCAAGTTGTAAGTAATAACACGAGCTGCCATAAGTAGAGGTAATTGATATTTCAAATGTAGACAGATGTGATTAAAATCGTGAAAGTATACTGAACATTAGGATAGGATAGCCATCAAAATAACATGACTTTCCTGTGGGTAGGTGTGATTTTTTTTTTGATGCCTTAAATAGTTTTGATATCCTCATCATTGACTGAGGATTACCATAGCCATAATTATTGCCATACGAATGAGGATTCCTTGAAGAGAGAGGAAAGAAGACGACAGGTGTGGGATTCAGAAAAATCTAATGTTGGGCTTGTGTTTTAATGCTTTTCATGGTGGTGATGTCTGGCAGGTCATCAGGGAGGGAAATAAACATCCTCTTCCATTCTCCACTGTCGTGAGAACCAGATATGATCATACATGTGCACACGCTTTGCAATAACCAAGAGCAGCGTTAAAAGAAAACCATCCCTTAATTGTGTTTAGACTGTTAAAATGCCTATATAGCATATACAACACACATATCCAAGTCCTTTTAGGCCATGAAAGATGCTTTTGTTTCCAGCATCTAAATTTAAATTTCCCAAAGTATGAGACGAATCACATTAGTTGTACTCAGAACCCATATTGAGTATGGACAAAGTTTCCCTGTTGCGTTTAACTTTAGAATCTGTCAGAAGCATTTCCAATCAAGTTTGTTTTAATTACTTCTGCATCAGGGAGACCACAGAACAAGATGCTGTTTCCACTGCTGGTAGATATCATTTCTCTTAATTATATTGGCGAAAAACAAAGATGAAAATATGTTTTTTTTCTGAGGATGAGGGAGAACAGAGAAGTCTTACACACTCCTGGAGGAATTATGAAATGGTTCATCCACTTTAGAGATCTGTCAGTATCTGGCTAATGAAATTTAAAATGTGCATCCATACGACCCTGAAATTCAGTTCTAGATCTACAATCTGCTCTAGATAAAAAGCTTTAGCCATGGATGTGGAGAAGAGATGTGTGCAAAGCCATTCATCATAGCATCCTTTGAAATAACTGACAGTTGAAAACAACCTAAATGCCCATCAAGACATGAATTGGGTGTTTTTTGAAAAAGGTATAATACATTCATATAATGGAATCTCATGCAGCAATCATGACGGCACACTTGTAGGTTTTTGGGGTTAGGTATATTGATATCAGAATGACCTGAAAAATGTAGTATTGGAGTGTGGGCAAAAACTTGAGTAGTAACAACAGTATGTTAACCACTCATGTCATACAATTTAGAAGCCCTAAAGAAACGTGTTGGTTTAGAGAAAAGTGCTGAGTGTAACGCACGGCGTAGATGGGGGTGAGGATTGCGGCGTGCGCTCTTGCAGGACCAACGT